AATATCAGATAAAAAGTTCATGTATTTAATTTCTAACAACTTAGAAAATCATAAATAATTTATAAATTGATTTAAATTTTCTTTTCAAAGGACATTAAAATAATTTTTTTTTGCTTTTTAGACAGAAATCAGCTTAAAAATTTTCTATTGCCTAGAAACTTCGAGAGATTTTCTATTAACAATGAATTACACCTCGCTGAGCAATCACAAAACATTATTTCAATTTTTTTACAGACATAGTATGGTTGCCTAGCAACCTAGTAAAATTAAGCATTCCTCTTTTGAATTAGTCAATGGGTTATCTTAAAATATTCATTTGCGCAGGCGACTTTTTTTGGGGGTTTTCTGGACTATCGCCAAATATATAAACCTTTATTGCTGCCCAATTTACCACCCAATTTTTTTGAAATTTTGTCTACCCCCCCCCCTAATTTAAGTGTCTAGATTCCAAATATGTAAAAAAAAATGTGTTTATTCAGAGAAAGTACGTTTTTGTGTCTGATTTCGTAGCTTAATTAATAGTTAGCACTAATTAATTAGCATATTTGAGGTCACCCCCAAGAACCATTAAGATTGACACTTAGTTCGTGAAAATCCGATCATTAGAACGAAAGTTATTCAGGGTGATTCGTTTTTTTTTTTTTTTGCGGACTGTACACTGTATATATACATATTGTTAATTTCTTCTGGATTCATGCAACATTTTTAATTAATACAAAATTCATACTTTTTACTGAATCTCCTTCATTGTTTTGTTAAAAACTTTCTCCGGAAACTTGTTTGGAGCAATTTTGAAAACTTTCAAGTTTGCTTCAGCTTTGATATTCGGTGTCACATCACCATTACAAATTCCAAAATCAAACAGACTTAAAAATTGTGACTTGTATTGCTTCAGGAACTTGTCAAGAAGCCAATTTAAAAACAAAGCAAATTTGCCAAGTCCAAATGAGGATAGGTTATAAATTGTGCTATACAGGAAAAAAGCAAAACAACGAATATAAGTACAGAAATGAACAAACTAAGTATAGGATGTCCATTTATGTATCTCTATGTGTGTTTTATTCACGCGGCTGTGTTTTATTCAAAGTACCATAGTTTACATAAATTAAACAATCAAAATACATTGAATTTTATAATTTATTATACATGAGAAGTTGTTATTGAACAAGTAGATATCAGATAATTATTTTTAAGTGGTAGAAATATAATTGGTAAAATATAAAAAAGATACAAACCTGGGGTACTAAACTAACATGAACACAGCAGAAATTTTCTTTTTTAACTCGGAATTGGAATTGACGAAAAGCCTCTACGAAAGGCATCCCTTCAATGTCACCAATTGTACCACCCAGCTAGTAAAGAAGAAAACGCATTCATAAAAACTAGCATATTTAACATAAAAACACTTAAAAACATGTAAATTTTCAAACAGTATTTTTTCGACTTTTTAACAATAAGCGTGTTAGTAGTTTTTAAAATAGAATGATTATTCAAAGGTATTTTACCTCAATAATGCAAATTTCTGGTATACCACCACTGGAAACTGGTTTTAAAGCAACTCTCTCCACCCATTCTTGGATAGCATCTGTTATATGTGGAACAACCTATATAAAATTAAAACCATCAGCTAAGTAAAACAACAAAAAAAACTTTTTTTTCTCTTTCTGGTACATAACTATTAAGTGTAAAATGAAACAACTAATTAAAATATGAAGAAAACTATTAAATATTTACATACATAAAAAGTAAAAAAGGTTGTAAAAATAATATATTATATATTTTATAGCGCATACTAGCAAATTACTTTATCAGTCAGACAGACTATTGAATTCACAGAACTGGAGCAGTATGCAAAAACTAAAATAAAACAATTATGTTTTTTTTTTTTTTTTTATTAATGAAAATGAAAAAGAATCGTTATGAACTTTGAGAATAGTTATCAGTAAAAATGTATTTCTTTTTGAAGAATTTATTTATTTTAATTTTAATTATGTTTGTTTTATTTAATTATGTTATGTTTGTTTTTAATTATGCTTGTTTATTTTATGTTTGGTGGGAAATATTAAGGCAATTTTTATAAATGGGTATCTTTCTTTATAATTTATTCAAATACAAATAGTTAGAACAAATATATAGATTTTCAAATTTTATAATATTTTCCCCCAGGTATTTTACTGAAATAATTTTTAAAAAATAACTAGAAATTCTTCCACAAAACCCCAGAACTCTGAGGAACACCTATTGGGAGCGGCTGCTTTAAGATAAACTTAGAATAAAAACAAAAGTTTTGATAAAAATAATACTTTCTGAACATTAAAGCTGAAACATGATACACAATATCAAAATTTGAATACTCCTCCTATTAAAATCGCTTTGTTACACTTAATGAAGAAATATACAATCCTTTCAGGAAAAAGACGTTAACAGTTATATGATAAAAAAATAATTTTAATTAACACTACAATTGTACAATAACTATACACTCTCAATTGATTTGAAGTTAATTTACATATTTATTCCTTATTCCTTTTCTTTTCCTTGAAAATAAATGCTTTAATAACTCATTCTTTCTGTTAAGAAAATTGAACAAACAACAGTTAAAGATACATACATATTAAAAGATACTTCAATCATTTTTATCCAGTAAAGTTAATCAAAAAAACTAAGCTGATTACACGAGGATACAGAAAATTGAGATATGGAAGGAAGCTATGACACCTATACCCCCCTTCACAATAGGAAGAAATGATGATTGATAAGATATGACAATATTTTATGTAAATTTAAAATTAAACATTTAACCTTATCTTTATCTTAACTTTCAACTGAGTTAATACTTAAATTGAAAACCTAAAAAAGGATCTACATAAACTTTATAACAAATTAACTTTAAAATAAATCGAGAAAAGTAATGAAGATAAAAACATTTGAAGCTGAGTTATAAATGGTTTTTACTTGAACAGTCTTCCCCAAGAACTCTCCTTTTCTTTCTCTGTTTATTACAGATTGATATATTTTGCCAGTGGTGATATTATTATCGCGGAACAAATTTATGTCCATGAAACGCTCATAGTTTCCCAAATCAAGGTCAACTTCACCTCCATCATCCAATACAAACACTTCTCCTGCAAAAAATTGCATAATGTTTGTAACTAATATTACGCAAATCACAATTATTAATAATGCTGAACATTAGATCACATTGAAAAATGAAGAAGAGAATTTAAGATTATATTCATTTTAGTCTTTAAGGCATTACTTTAATTAATGTAACAATAAGATAAAATAACAAAAATAATGTGAAATAGTATATAAATGAAATGAATTTTCAAAAAAGTTCAAAATAATTTATTATATTATAGTCTTGTTTAAATAACTTTTTCTTCACTGTTTTTCAAGCATATTAAAGCAATAAATAACTAACAGTTTTGTTGACTTACAGATACAAAATTTAACAAAACATCATACATTAAGCTATCGACAAAATTTATTAATTCAATTTTGCATAAGGCTTAGAAAAACAAATTAGAACAAAATAATTTTAACAGCAATCTAAAAAATATATTGTCTAATATTAGACAGTATAGTTTTATGAACAGAATATATCAGGTCATAAACAGAAATGTCATAAACTAAATGTCATAAACAGAAATTTTTTAACCAGTAAATAAAAGACTAGTAGATGTGTTCTAAATCACACCATTGGGGGCCAAATCAACATAAACAGAAATTTCTCAACCTGTGAATTCAACTTAAAGTGCTTTTTAGAAGAGAAAACAATTTTCTAAAAGAGGGTGCAATGATAAATCATTTAATAATAAAACAAATAGCCATCTAATACAACCATAAAATAGTTTATTTCCTTGATTACTATGCATTTTTAAGATACTACTAGATCATCATTAAGATACAACTGATAACTGTGTTCTGTACATTGTATGACTACTATGCATTTTTAAGATGCGACTAGTCATTGTTTTTTTAAACACCATCAAGATACAACTAGTCACTGTCGAGTCATAATATAGTGCCAAACCGTGCCATAAATAGATATTTTGCAACCTAACTGACACAAAGTGGTTCTTTGGAAGAGAGAATTTTTGATCATTTCCTCAGACAGGGGACAACACTGAATAATGTCACTTAATGAGAAAACAAATATATATCTAACACAATAATAATACAGTTTCGTTCTATGATGACTAGCATGAATTTTTAAGAAATGACTAATCAAGATGACAAGTCACTGTTTTCTTAAAAATGAAATTCTGCATAATTTTATACATAGTTCATTTTTAAGAAAACAGTGACTTTAAGCAGAATTTAAAGTTTAATAAGGCTTCGTGCATAGACGTACTATTTGCATGCATCTCAACTTTATGTTAAACTCCTAAATAAAACTATGCAAAAATATATTTACCATGCTCATAGGGTGAAAATGTTCCAGCATCTATATTAATATAGGGATCAATCTTTATTGCTGTGACTTCATAGCCATTAGACTTCAGAATTTTCCCAATGCTACTGGCAATGACACCTTTGCCTATGCCACTGATGACACCTCCGGTTACCAAAACATATTTCATGTTTGTCTAAAATAACATGAAATAAAAGTTTCATTAACTACGAGTGTTAGTATTCATTAAAAAATAATAATTACACTTAGTCAGGGTTGCCAAGTTTTTGACACATGACCGTTTTTACCGTCATGTCAAAAACCCCTCTGTCAAAAATCCATAGTTTTTGTAAAACTGTATTTTTATTTGAGTTTAACTGCTTATAATTTAAAATTAAATCATTTTTGGGCAATAAAATTAGTTACAAGTTATGAAAGTTTATTTTAGCTTATTTCTAATATTTAAGAAATGCCAAATTTTAAATTCTTCTTTTTAGTTCTTGAATTTATTAATAGTTCCAAGCTTTTTTGTTTGTTTGTTTATTTCTAACAATTAAGAAGTGCAAAATTTTGAATCATTTGCAAATCAAGCTATAATGATAAAAGTAAGTACCACTATTTTCAATAAGTATATTACAATATTACTGTATGAATGTATATCCTTCTATAAGAATACATGTATATAGTTGCAAAATCAATAGCAATCATTTACAGCATTCATTTGTAAAGACAATTATGTCAAAATAATATATTGTCCGCTATATGCCATAAATTAAAGAAAACAGTAGGTTTTTGACTGTTTTTACCAGTAAAAACACGGCTTTTACCACTGTCATGTCAAAAACCAGTTATTGACGGCAAAACCCCAACCCTGCACTTAGTTCTATAATATAGATGCATCTGCACACATCATGCATGGATTTATTTGTAGAAATTCTTAAATTTTATTATTAGTTGAATTTCTTGGAAATTTACTTTTCTATCATGTTAATTAATATGGGTACAGCTAACCAAAGAGAACAGCTTCAAGTTTGTAGACAAACAGATAAAAAAAGTTCACCCGCTTACTTTTATTGATAAATATTATGAATATCTTCTTACTATTAAGGATAATTATTATAGTTATATTTCTAATATATATACAGTTTTTTATGCATATTGAGAATTTTCATGAAAGTTTTTTTCCTTCATTTTTATGATAAAATTAAGCTGTTTTCAAGGAAAAATATCGGTTTGCAAAAATTTTTGAATTGTATGTCCGTAGATAGTTCTTTTATTTATTTGATCTTACTCTGTACATTACCAATCTTTAATCAGCAAATTTCTTAGTTGTAGATCATAAAAAAAAACTACATTGTAGGCACACAAAAAAATCCATTTCAGTTGAATTTATTTAATAAAGATAAATACTGATTATTATTATTATTTTTTTTTTTTACTTTAATAGAATATCACTTTAAATAAAATGTTCAACAAAGGAAAAAAGAAACAGGATTTCTACATACACTCCAATCAAATTAAAATAAGTACTATATAAATGTTTTGTCTATTGAGAAAAAAAATTGATATAACATTCTATGAATTTATGCAAATAAAATCCTTATTGCTTTGCTGAGATCCTTCAATAAATATAAATGTATCTATTAGTTACCTAATGTAGTAATGGTTAAATTTTTATTTTCGGAAAATGAAAGCATAAAAAACTACTTTTCAAACATTAAATGGACTTTTTTTATAATTTAATAGGTTTCTAGTATTACTACTGCAAAATGATTTTTATATAAATTAATATTACTACCACATAACTGTTTTAAAATTTATATTGCAAAATAAAACATTGAATGCCTTATTTTTTGAGGAAATAAATAATAAACATTGAGAAATTTTTATACATTTAGATATTGATATTACAAGTAAAAGCAACTTAAAATTTTTTGTAAAAAATTATTCCCTGGAAAAACAGTACCTACTTGTTTCAATTTTAGAGATATGATATTTATATCTTTCTAAAATAAATTTTTTTGGTAAATTATTGATAGTACAGATTGTATAACAAAATAATAAAACATGTTTTTCTTTTTTTCTTTGAAGTATTCACTTATGTTTATTTTAACATTTCATTTAGTAACACAACTATTGCAATAACCTGAACCCTAATACAAATATTCTCTAATTTATAGATAAAATTAAAGCCTGTTTGGTAGTAGAAAATTATAAAATAACAATAATATCATGGAAAATAGTGTTTAAAATGATCACCTTAATTTGTCAGAATTATTGTTTATCCCTATCTTAATTACTAGTACATTGAACCTTTACTTATTTCCTTAAATATACAGGCAAACAAATAACCTGTTATTTACTTTCCAATTACTTACAATAAAAGATCTGTAAAATAAAATGCTATAAACAGTGAATTATTAGCTTGTTTTTTTTTTTTTTTTTTTTTTTTTTTTTTTTTTTTTTTTNTTTTTTTTTTTTTTTTAGATAAGTGCTCGCTTTTATTATTAGTCGAGCACTCTGGATTTGCTTACATTTATTTTAGTAGTTCTTCAGAATTTAAAGATGCGACTGTACGTGATAGGTTTTGAGTCTTGCATATGTTATAAAAAATCTATTATAGCTGAAGTAAATATACAAAAAATAACATTAGTAAGTGCATTAGTATAACATACACTTAATAACGATGTTCTAAATTAATAAGTTTAAAAAAATGAATTGATTAAAAAAGAAAGACAGAGTACTTACAAAAATTCTTTGATCACAATAAAATTAATATGAAATGTATAATTTATCCCGATGTTTATTTTTTGTAATAACGTGCCTGCTGCAGTTTTCCTTGCAGTGGCGCGAAAGAGAGAATCAGATCGTTAAACGAAAGACAGTAGTAAATACTGCGCTTATAACCTTATGACGCACTGTATTAAAGCTATGAGTCAAGCCAATTTCCAACTCCTTTCAAAAAATACTCTTTGCCACGTGTTTTTGGTACTGTACGGTACTTTTTATTTACGTCACATTAGAGCTGCACAATGGGCTATTTGGCGTCTGTACTTTGGCTATTTGGCGTCTGCGTAAATCTCGCAGTGGCGTACATAGACTTAGGTGTGCCCCCCTGCGGGGTTCACAAATGAGCCCATAATGAGATGAAAATGCTCAGTTGATTGAGATGAAAGGGCAAAGTTTAGAGGAGGTACTATATTGAAGCATCGTATACATTTACCACATTGAAGTTAAATTCATCTTAGTAATACGGAAAAGAATACAACATATTATAATAATTATATTCAAAGTTTATTTAAGAGTGTAACTAATATTTATTAAGCAGTGAATGGATTTTTTTCTCTCTTTGTGTGTAAGTTCCTAAGATTCCCAAGATGAACAGATGAGTCTACACTTTCCCCAAAATTTAAAAAAAAGGCCCATCAAACAAACAAAAAATACACATAAATATTTTTTATATAAATAATTATTCTTTACTTAAATCTGAACGTTATGCGAATAATTTCACTGTCAGCAAGATTTAGAAATCGATATAAATTTTTGCATTCGTGAAAATTCTTTTTATTAGTTTTAGTAGCTAATTAATTCACTTTTCAGAAATATTTTAATTGTTAAACTAATAATTTTCGACAAAAAATTTAGATTTTTAACAAGACTTCATTTTAACTACAATGTTAAAAAAAGAGAGAGAGAAGAGGAAAGTTTATTGCTGTAAACTTATTTTAATTAATTCTTGCTTGATCAATAAATTTTTAAAACAATATTTGATTCTATTCGAATTACATTAAATTCGAGCTCAATTTTTCTATGCGAGAGGAACTTATTCCCTTCCCTCTGAGTTTTTTTTTCCTGGTATTCATTTTTTTTCCTTTGCTATACTTTATTTTTCAGTCTTTTTTTTCCAGGTTATTTTTTTCAGCTTACATGCCGTATGAAAATATAAAGTTTCAAGCTTATCGGAGTCTGTTTTTCGAAAATTTAATTTTCCGTAATATTCCTTTCGTAGAAAAATTTCTATTAGTCAATGTTGTTAACAGTTGATAAACTTCGGAAAACTGGAGAATTGGCTGATTAAGATTCCTTTTGTCTCAACATCCTTTTGATTAGTAAGCATATTATCAGGAATATTAACTTCGAATTTACAGTAAACTGATATATATTAATGAATTTTTTTCTCTAACCGAAATCGAAAACCCAACCTTTAATACACACGAAATGCATCAACTTCATCTTTACGTAAATCAATTTCACATTTGAAAGGAGAAGACTGCAATTCTGAGAAATAAGGTTGTACAAAAGATGAAAGTTTGAATTTCTTAGACGACTCTATCATTTCTAAATAAAAGAAAGTTAGAGTAAAAATGACTTTAAAAAAATGCTCCCTTCTTCCCAAAAAATATTCAAAATTCCGGTTACAGTTCAACCAAACCATTGGTTGCAAACATATTTATCTAATCTGTTATTTTGTGAATTGAAGGTATAATTTTGGCTAGGAAAAGAAAAAAAAACTCATAAAAATTTTTTTACAAATAGATTTTCAAAAAAAAACTTATCATTCAGAAATATTCCTGCTCCTATTTTATTAACACTTTAACGCATAATTTTCATTACATTACATAATTCATTACATTACTGTGAAAAAAAAATTTTTTTTTCCACAATAAAACATATAATTTAGTTTTTAATTTTGAACTTCATTTTACTGAACTTTTATGAATTTCAGTCACTATTTTAGCAGGAATAAAAGCGATCGCTCAACTGAAATTATATAATATTTCAGACTGAATCTTTAGTTAATTGCTTAATAGTTTAGTTAATTGATTAATAGTTTAAGGATTGATTCTGCCACTCCTAAATTTCAAATGTGCTTTATACAACTAAAGAAATGATAAAATGGCAAAATAGACAGTATATTGTGTAAGTGAAAATGGATAATGTTATATACACAAAGGAATAACCAATTTTCAATAAAATAAAGTGATGAAATAAGTAGCAATTTGAGTAGTGTTTTCACTGTGTGGCATTGTGGGTAATAAATTGTCTAATTTTAAGAAGCTATTAGATAGAACTATTATGCAGGAAACAGTTTTGAGAAATAGTTCTCATTTTCAACTATTCCAACCATGAAACCAAAAATTTAGAAACATGTTTAAGAAGGATGGATAATAACGTCATAAATTAAAGCTAAATTGC